AGGAGACAAGAGCAGTGGGAAGGCATTGGAGCTCATCACACCGGGGGAGACCCGTTTTGGAACTCGTTACCTTATGCTGAAGAGACTGCAGCTTATGGAGACTGTGTTGATGGACACAATTTGCAGCAGCGAGTGGGATGCGGCCCCGTGGGAGAAAAGCAAGGTGGAACGGGCACGTGCATGTAGGGAGCTCGTGCGCAGTGTGGAGTGGTGGAAGACAGTGGATGAGGCTGTTAAACTACTGGAGCCAGTTTACAAGTTCATGCGGACCATGGACAGCGATGGCCGAATGGGTCCTCACATATGGAGTCTTGCTGTCACTTTGGAAAACAGAATGAAGAGTGCTCCTATGGACGATGACACCAGGAAGGTGGTGATGCAGAAGGTGAAGCAGCGCATGGAGATGATGGCACTTCCTATGCATGCAGCAGCACACATGCTGCACCCTGCGAACCGTTCTGGTGATCTATTTGACAACCTGGAGGCCCCGGTTATACACAACACTTTAGCCCACATTGCGACGATTTATCCAGTTGGGACGCAAGTGTACAGAGAATGCTGGGATTCACTGTTGAGCTTCCACCAGCGGGGCCCGGAGTGGACGGGTGAGAACTCAGAGGAATACCTGTCCAACAAGAGGATCTCGATGGCACAATGGTGGATGACTTATGGTAAGACACACGTCAAGTTGCAGGGCATTGCCATCAAGGTCCTCAGCATGTGGACCACGTCCCCGTGGGAGAGTCGACATTTGACCTCGTGCACACCAAGAGGCGAAATAAGCTGTCTCCTGACACGCTGGAGAAGCTCGTCTTCGTGCATTAGAACACCAAGCTTCTAAGAATGTCGCGGTTGAAGAGAGGTTACGTGAACACCGAGCGGCTCGACTGGGAGACTCCGGAGGATGTGGCCCCACATGACGTATTTATGTAGGATGGGGAGTACGACCCCGAGGACGTGGCGAGACGGGCCGCAAATTGGTCGAGAGCAGGCAGTCGCTTATCCAAGGCAACGATGCTTGACATTCAGCCTATTCTAGACGAGGTTGAGGATGACGGAGCATGGTTGGCTGCTCAGACTTACACACCTCCTCCGCTCAGACCGGACCGTGCCAGGGTGGTGGAGGATGTTTCAGCGGATTCAGACGATGAGGAGGAGGATGAGATAGCTGATTTGCCTCTTCAGTGTAGCAGGGCGAGGATGACCGCGTCACGCAGGGAGCAGGGAGATGACAGTTTGGTTGGTGGTGTTACCGCTACTCCCACCACCCGGGTTGACGAAAGTGCAGTTGGTGGCGCAGGTTCTTGTGTGACCACTTCTATTGGTCATCATGCTTCTGCAGCCGTGGCTGTTACTGGGAGATCAGCATTGCAACGCAGCACTTGTGTTGGTGGCACGAGTTCAGCTGCTGATCATGTTCATGGGAGCACTGAAGTTGGTGGGAGTTCGACCGTGCACAACAACAGTGTTGGTGTTTCTTGTAGTCTGGCAATTGGAGGGAGTTCCATGGTGGACGGTGGTGTTGCTGTTGGTGTGACCGTGAGTGATACTGGTGCAGGTTGCCCTGGGGACGCAGCGGATCTGCCTGCAGGGAAGGCCAGTGCTGATCTTGATGTCGACATGAGTGATGCTGGTGGAGAGTGTCGTCAGGACAGCACCACCATCCCACCTGCAGCAGATGTGTTCGCTTCACTTATCAATTTCATATCCCCTGAAGATTACACGATTTCACCATTGACTTCCCCCCTCCAAACGGAAAGCGAGGATAACAATCCACCTCGGGAAAGATTGAGCAGTGTTGTCCCGCCTGTCCCACGGTTTGATGAAGGGACCACACCCTCATCAACTGCAGTACACAGGGGAATGAGCCCAAGTGATGGACAGCAGCCTGCGGCACAAGATTGTGCAAGGATTTCATGGAAGAGAATGTCCCCGCCTGAAATTAACCAAGAGGTTGTGCGCACAGTCAAGAGCATGGCTGGCCGGAAGAATGGATGGAAGAACAAGGAAGTGTCGAAGAAGATGGATGTGTCAAAGAAGAAGGACAAGTCAAAGAAAAGGGAACAAGAGAAAGAGAAGGACGCATCAAAGAAGAAGGACAAGTCGAAGAATAAGGACGCCGGAGAAGGCCCCTCGGATTCTGTTCGCCGACCAGTTGGCAGACCACGACGAGCTCGGACTGAGCCCGACCGCGACCCTTTGGAAATGAAGAGAGCTATCGTCAGAGCGGCGAAGGTGTCGAAAGCACTAAAATTGAAGAAGAAATTACAAGCTGCTAGCCATTCGCCAACAAAACGGGGTAGAAAGAGGCGGAGGGTCGTGGATGACGATCTCGCTTCTTACTCATCTACCACTCCAGCCTCCTCGACTTCATCTTCCGACGAGTCCTGCACCTCCTCTAGTGGTAGTGACAGCAGCAGCAAGTGATACCTCTTTCGAATATGCCCTGAGAGAGAGAGAGAGAGAGAGAGAGAGAGAGAGAGAGAGAGAGAGAGAGAGAGAGAGAGAGAGAGAGAGAGAGAGAGAGAGTCTATTTTAGCTACTTGGTCGTGGGGGTGGAATGGCATGCCTTGTCGTTTGATCTGTTTTACATGTTGGCTTCTCCATTTCCAGCTTATGAACTTCTGTTCTCGAAGTGTGTCCCGTCTTTACTTTTGTTCTTGAACACCCCAGACACCCTCTGTCCGCCTCCCAAAACACCCTCGAACCCACCCTTAACCTCCCCAAGACAACCCCCAAAGCACCCCATGAACAACCCATGAAGACCCCCCAAACACCCCC